GCGACATCCGCGTCACTGCATTACCGACCCGAGCGAAACAGCACGTTAAGTTTCAACGGCCGCGGCAGCGCGAACGAGACGGCGAGATCCGCGTCACTGCATTACCGACCAATCACGCGACCAGTACTCCACGTCACTACCGAATAAGATTCAAAACAAACAGCATTTTTTATGAAAAATTATATTTTATAGTACTTACGAATGAAAAGTGATGCCGTGGGTTTTATTTTTAGTTCTTGAACAATTTGAGCACTTTTTAATAACATACTTAGGCATTGTTTTATCATATAAACACAAAATATTATCAATATTTCTTTTTGGCGTTCACATGTACGTCGTTTGCATGTCAAGTTGTGACTAAAGCGATTAGGGTCGTGGACCACAATTCATGCGGATCACTTTTGTGAGGCTAGTGCCGTATCTACCCTTTTGTTTTAATCTAAGTTTTTAGCCCAGAAAACAGCTAAATGTCCTTTAGAAACAGCAGTTAAGGACATTTCTTACAAATTATTACAGTTTATGTTTCGATGTATTTTTTAATTACTTACATACAATATCTATAGATATCACACAGCAAGGCCATCAATACATTCTTCATGACAAAAGTCAATCACTATTTAATCAATTTATTTTTATCATGGGCGGTATAACTTTTATTCGCATTACGGCCAGATACTTAAATTAAAGTACCTTTGTTTTTTGTTGAAGGAAATATTTCTCCTTGTACGTAACTATTTTCGATGAAGGAATTCTTCTTCTTTCAACGTTTACGTAGATAAGTTTTTATTTTTTAAGCATTTAACTGCTAGATGTTTAAATCTAAAGAAAAGTTTACTAGAAAAAATCCACGCAGATCAGGCAGCGGACGGGACGTTTACCTACATGGAATTTCTGTAATATTATAAAAGTATAGTAGTTACATGCAAGGAATAATAATTCCTTCAGAAATTTAGAAATCAGAAATTTTATTGCGTTTCATGTGGCAAATACGGTCTAACATTACAACAACAAAAACAAACAACATAAGGTACAAACACAAAACACATGAACATCTATGTCCTATTACTTTTGATAGAACTATTATTCCTTGGTCAAGCACTGTCAAAAATCTTGGTGTATTTGATCAGTGTTTTTCTTGGAGACTTCTTAACTGGCTCCCTATTCGCCGGCGCAGCGACTAACACACTCTTACGCTTCTTTACTCCGTACTTTTCTTACCCACTTCACCTCATTACTTAAAAGAATGCTTCTTGTTTCTCTCTTCTACTTCACAGCGCACTTTGCGATCTTCTTCTAACCTATCTCTTAAATTCCAAGTCATTCTACTGATTTCTTTTCCTATTCCTTCTCTGTGCATTCTTTACGTCTATGGAAATCATTGCCAGAAACTATTCAAAAGGCTCGCACTCTGAATTCGTTTAGGGATCAAGTTCGGAGTTATTTCCTATCCCAACTATTATGTAATTAGTTTTACTTTATCCTCTCTTTCCTTCCTTAGATATATCTGTTTTCCTGCCATTAAAATGATTATGTTTTTCTATAACACCCCTCCTTTTCTCCTTTATATTTATTTATCTTTCTATTATGGGTTGACTGGAAGAGATTGCTGCCTAGCAATAAGGCCGCCATATTGTGTACGTTCTGTCTATCAAGTTTTAATTTACTTGTGTGCCTTGAATGGTGTATTACAATAAGGAATATTATTATTATTAAACACGCGAGTCCTGTTAGGACATAACAATGTTGAGCTTATAGCTAAAATTAAACCTTTATTGAAACTAGCGATGTGAATTAAAATTAGAACATGAAATCTCTCATTTGTTGGACACGTTGATTAGAGAAACACGAGTAAATGCATAAAAGTACAAGAGACTAAAAAGAAGAAGAACTAGAGAATTAAGTCTTCAAAATTACACAGAAAGGCAATCGCATTAAAGAAATATAAGGAAAAATAATTCCACCATGGAAAATAGTAACGTACAAGGGAAAATATTTCTTTCAACGTAACCTTAGCAATATATTTTTGTACGTAACCATGACATTAAGTAAACGTGGTTTGTTAACAGAAGAATAATTCCTTCATCGAAACTAGTTACGTAAAAGGAAGAATAATTCCTTCATCAAAACCAGTTACGAAACAGCGGTTTCGTAGACGGCCAAAGAGGTAACCAAACCAAAATAAATTGCGATAACTAGGCATTTGTTTCAAGGATTTACTTCATGTCCTTAGATCACTTTCTAGTGTCGATAAACATATCTCCACTATGATCTGATAGTTGAGAAACAAACATCTTGACGCCTTAAGTCCATTTAAAATTAAACCATACTGCACAGTCAACATCTCAATCGTGAATTTAAGCTTAAAACCAAACCGAAGCAGTTTCTAAATAGTTTCGTACGCAAAATAACGCAAACAAAAATAAAATTAACATATATATGTATAAAGAACTTGGATTGTAAATAAATGGTAATTAAGCAAATATAATAAAAGCGTTATATAAACATCTTTATGGAAAATAGTTGGTGCTTACATATATATCGAGGTCCTTATTTAAAAATGCATACCAAAGACGGACGATACCTTAAAAATACTTTGTAATTATTTAAAAAGGGTGCTATTTCTAAGTGTACATCAAACTAAGATTGTTGAAGACGGTGCTTTAACGATTGACATTATGTTTTGAAATAAATAAAATAAAACCAACTTTTAATACATGAAGTACCTTAAGTTTTTGTTTTCATAATATAAAATTTATCCATCCACGGAATAACATTTAATCTGTTTTGCGAATGTGATAAATTAAAATGGCTTCTTTTATGAAAATATGGCATTACGGATATGAACAGTATTATAAATCCAGATGATAATAAAATGTTGAAAAATATGATAATTATTTCCAATATTGCACCAAATTTCAGTCACTATCATCTGGAGTTGAATCACGTAACTACTCATAATAATAATATGAACTTATACTTATTAACGTTAATTTTGACTTTTAAATAACCTTTGTTTTTCTTTGTCGTACCTTTTACTTAGCTAAAGTTCTTTATATTCGTAAAGATGAAATTAGGCTAATAACACGGTATGCGAAATAGAAAAGGGGGTTTCTAATCTTTAAATCTACATAATATGTATTATATTTATATTTGTTATTACCTATGTGGAAAGGGATATCGATTCTATACTTAAAATAAGACAGTCATTATGAATTTATGATTGCTATAAATTGATGGCACTTCACATATTATAATATATTTTGACTTATACTAAAAAAAATAACAAATTTATAGGTATAGGTAACGGTGAACTTGTTGGGCTAAACTACAGACAGATAAACTTGCGCAGTAGACGTTTTTGTATGTAAAATTGCTACTGCGCAGGCTTCCCTGTCGCTGCTCAAGAAGTTTGCCGGCGTGTATAAATACCTCGATTTGCTTTGTGTTGCATTCAAATCCTGACCACACATAACTAAATCTTTTGAATATTATTATGTTACCGCGTTCGCAACCGCTAAGAAATAAATAAGCATTTGTAGATATTTACAATAATCTGCAATGTCAATATTATAAAAATAGTATTGAATGAATACCTATAATTATAGCAAAAATAACAAGAATGTTTTGTTAACCTATTTTTTTAATGTTCCTATCTATTGTTTTGTAATGTTCTGTTCAAATTCAATTCATACTCGAAAGAAATTGCCTAAACATAGGTAAAATAACTAAAATAATAGATTAACAAAATTTTCACGATTTTTAACAATAACACTGCAATTTGCAACTGTAACTTTGCAGGTATACCACTAATGTAAACACTATTATGAACTGGAACAAATAAAAACAAATGCAAGCGATTGCAGTGACACAAGAAGTGCAAAGCTAATTAGAATGCCTGCAAAGTACATATGAAATAAAAAAAAAAAATGTATTTTAAAAACTAAAATACAGTAACCACTTACACTGAGTCTTAGGCCCCTAGTTAAGTTAAGGCCTCTTATTACACAGATGAATAAGCGTGCCATTTGATTGGCTTGGTATGTATGTAAGATTTTTGGTCAATGGAATCACCGCTATTAAGAATGAAATACAGTTAAGCCTAAAATGTACATCACATAAAATTAAATTTAAAGTTGTAAAACTGGCTTCGTAGAGATAATAATATCTTTGATTCGACATTAGTTTAAGTACTGTACTCCAACAATTTTCTAATATAGATCTAGAGAACATAAAATCAATTAAATCTAATGAGATTTTTGAATGATGTATCTATGATAGCCATTATTATGTGTAAGTAAAGCATAATTAACAGAAAATAAGAATAAGGAATTATTAACGTTGGAAACATTACCTTTCTTATGATTACGCTATTTAAAAAATAAACATATTGATTGCTTTTTAAGTCAGTTTTAAGAGAATAGACTATAAATAATAGTAACGTCGTTAATCTAAATGTATGTAAGTATTTAATTTAGAAATTTTAAATGAAATAGAAATAAGTTTTTTTTTCCTGTTGGGCATTAGTGAAAGAACTTTTAATAAAATACTGACAAATGTTTTCTTATACCACTAAAAATGCATAATGAATGACCAAAATGTATGGCAAGATTGAAAAAAAAACTTATAATTTTATTATGATTACCCAGCATGAGTCTATTCTATTTATATACTCAATATTTAAAATAACGGCCGGATGAGATATTAATTAAAATCACTGTCACAAGATCTCAGTGACTGCCGAGCGAAATGAACACTACTATCTGGAACTCGTCATAATTAAACCTTAACATCACAATACATATTTCTCAATTAAATTGAACGAAATTTTGTACCTATGACTTAGATCAGTAAACAAAGGAAATATTTCTTACCTAAATCACTGTGATATAACTACCTAATGGTATATTTCAACGACATGTAGCAACATTAGCAAAAATATTTCCTCTCCTCTTCACTAGCTTTGCCTATTGTATAATTGACTCTTTACGCATTACTTTTTTTTAATCAGCCTTCAAGTGCTGCTGTTCCCTGTTCATGTTTAGCTCTTTCAAGCGCTGCCTCAGTTGTGCCTTTTTCAGATTTGTCATGATTTGAGTCGACTGATATAACCATGAACCCTGAAACATTAAAACAATAAAAAATCTGCTAATATCTCTACAGTTGGTTACAATAAAATCGTTTTAACAAAATATTGTTGCAGTAAAGATATTGGCGACTCTAGACACGAAAATTTCCATGCCATTAATCAAGATTTAACATTGGGTCGAGCAAAAACGTCAGATCAAGTTATTTTGTAAGTGCACCCGTTTAATTTTCAAATTTATTATTGATCGTTACAGTGGCAACATTATTACGGTTCGTGAGACACAACAGATGGACGGACGGTAAGCGGAGGCTTGGTAATGGCGTTCCGTTGTTAAGATACGGTCGGAACCCTTGAAAGCATGTTTTTTATTTCGTTAAACTTGATTGCTCTATACTAGGCAGGCGTGTATATAATCAAAAAATATTAATAACGTGTCTTCTAAGTGGTAATTTACGCATTCGTTTCTAATAAAAAAAATCTGTCAATTTTGACTATTCATTACATTAAGCTCAGCTTTTAAGTTCACGTGATTTGTAATTGTCATAAAGAAAATTGAAAAATAAAATTAACATATTACTAGCGGCCGCCTGCGACTTCGTACACGTGGAGTTAGTTAGAAATAAAGGTTCACTGCTCGTTCTCAGTAGGCGATAGTGTGATAATATATAGCCTATATGTTGACCCGACTTCTTAATTATAAGACACGAAGCCTTTGAAATAAATCCACGATCCAAATTCTAAAAACTATATTTTTGGCTTCGGTATCGATTGTAGATTACACCCAAAGTATTCTTTAAAAAAATATTCAATGTACAGTTTTGACTTTCCTATCATTTTATTATATGTATAGATGCAGAATATTTATGAAATATGTAATTTCGCTCTTTTAAACTCTAAGGCAGGGGTGCTCAAACTTGAACTGCTGGCGCTCTACCTCAAAATATTTAGACTACTTACGATCGACTCTGAGAGACTGCAAGTATGTGTGATACAGGGTTGTCGTACATACACGATACACCCCACCTACCTACCTAGGTAGGGTGTACCGTAGCATATATAGATATTTGTAGGTCGATCGCGATCGAGCACCGTTTGAGCACACCTGCTCTAAGGAATAATTCGAAAGTTCTAAGTCAAATATTTTATGCATATTTATAACCAGTTCTTTATAATATATAATTTTTATACATACCACCATAATCATACAATTAAGTAATATAGGAATAGAGAATACGATAGATATAAATAAGCCTTTGCTGTCAAAGTATTGTTGTCGGGAAAATAGCGCCCAATTCCTGGCGGCTACTTCGTTTATGCTCTCCGAAAAATATACTAGAAGCACTGTAACAATAAAGAAATAAATTCACATTAGATTTGACCGAGTAACAATCAACCCGATGACAGTTTTATTATTAAACCTGTAACCGATCTGCGATCGATCGTGAACTAACTATCGATAAATAGGATAGTTGAAGGTAATAGACCTTTACCCAATTTTAAGGGACCCTTGCCCTGACAAAGGGTGTAATATGAGTTATGGAGTAAGGGACCCGCTCTAGGGCTATCAGCGCGACCCAATCTCCCTTACGCCCTGACGATCACGTAGTGAAGTAGCTGTTATACCGGCCATACACACTACGAGAAATCGTTACGATCAGACTGTAGAGTTCGAACGGTACCGATAAATCGTAGCGTGTATGTTATAAAACTGCACAGTTTTCTATACGTACGCCACGTCCGATAAACTGTTCCGTTCGAACTGTACAGTCTGATCGTAACGATTTCTCGTAGTGTGTATGGTCGGTATAATGCTAGCCATACACACTACGAGAAATCGTTACGATCAGACTGTACAGTTCGAACGGAACAGTTTATACGATTTCGTTTAGTATAGGAAACTGTGCAGTTTTATAACATACACGCTACGATTTATCGGTACCGTTCGGACTGTACAGTCTAATCGTAACGATTTCTCGTAGTGTGTATGGCCGGTATTAGGCAGTAAGGGAGGGAGCTCAATCGACGCTCTGAGAGCGTATAGTACGGACGTTCTTGTAGTGGAATTAGTTCATTGGCGCGATGATATCTAATAGTGTGTTGTGTGTTACTTAATTTTTATTGAGATCTAATATTTTTGTGGCAAAAAGAAATCAAAAAGTATATAAATAAGGCACATATTTAAATAATCAGCAAAAAATACTAATTTATCCTCAAAAAAATACAATTTGGAACTAAATATTTACTTAATTTATGAAGATTAGGTATAATTTATATCTAAAGATTATGACCATGAAATAAACTATTAACAACTGCATATACGAGTATGATAGACGATATCAAAATAAATAATAATTGTAAAACATCATTTAAATAGTCAATATTCAAAATCAGTTAGCTAAAGCTTTTGTATCAAGGAAATCGGAAAAGATGACGATACAACAACTAGCTAGACCAGCGGAAATAAATAAAAGTTTTTCTAAGTTGAACCGACTGGGGATCGAACCCGGGACCAAGCCGGGACCCCGCGAGATTGCGACGCTCTAAATAATAAAACACAACAAGATCTAGCTTGCGGCGAGATTTAATGCGCCAGAGGACCGCCAAAAGCTTCAAAGTAAATAACACGTATACAAAGCACCACGGTTGTTGTTTTACCTTTTCTCCTAAGCTTTGTACCTTCCCAAACATATACAAATAAAAATGCAGTGCTCTCTGAACTTTAAATTAGTGTTACATCAATTTGAAGTACGCGCTCCGCGAAAAAAGGTGATGTCGTGGACGTTTCAACCGACATTACCCCAATTTTGTAGAAACCACACCTTTCTATTATTTAATCTTGAAGTGTGATATATCCACGTGTTCCTCAAGAATTAGTCAGTGATGTGAAAAGATCATAGTTTTATTTGCGTTACTATTAAAAACCTACAAAAATGTGAACACGTAAAAGTTTTGTTTGTTACCGGTTATTTTTATTTTATTTCTTTTATAACGTTTTTCTTATCTTAGGCCTAAAGCCGAACTTCAAATGATGGCGAAACTAACAATGAAGCAGCCCCGACTCATGAGTCGATCTTCACTTTTATTGCTCCATGAAATGAAATGAAATGAAATGAAATGAAAAGTCATTTATTCAGTCTAGGCTGTTACAAGCACTTGTGAAAGTCAAGAAGCTACGCCATCGGTTCGCAAAACTACGGCGGGAGACCTTGTCACGCACATGATAACGCAACACCTCATGACTGCACAAGAAACAGTTTCTACAGGAGCTGCAGTTGGAAACGATACGTCATCCTCCGTACCCGCCAGACCAGCGCAACGGCAGCAATTCGACAGATGGCATCAACTTCATATCGCAGAAAATCGTTTGATATTCATTTATCAGAAATTTGAACTCATAATTTTGTAAGACAGAATCATCTTAAGGAAAATATACACAATAATCAAAGAGCAGAACCATCATATCGCAGGTCATAATCGTCTTTTAGCGTACAAATATTTAACTTTCGTTTTTATTTATCTATTATTTCAGATGGCTGGCACTTCGCCTGTTGTAAAATGTCGTTTAAAAAATGTTAAATTACTAAAATTGTTTGTTTTTAAAATGAACCTTGAGTTTCCTTCACTTTTAGTCTGAACCTTATTTTCGTTTGAACTTCGTCCGCAGAGAGATTACTGACAAGAACGTTTTCTCCTTGAAAATATTCAACTTTTGACACGAATAGACAACAGGTAATTATGGAAATATACTCAACTCAATGAATTTGAATTTATATATATAATTGAATACATACTTTGTGGCTGGAAGCAATATTTTCTTGAAAGATAAGCAAAATATGTTAAGTATGTTACACAAAGTCAAGTACATATTTTAAGTACTATTAAAAAAATAACAAATAAATCATCATCATCCCAGCCGTAAGTGACTGCTGAGCATAAGCGCCGCTGAGGGAGCCCAAGAGACATATTTGGACCAGAACCATCCAGAATTGCCCGTATCTAATGTCTACCCGCGACCTTGAACAGATCATCACTCCACCTGCTAAGGAGCCTTCTTACTAGGCGTCGTCCATACCGCGGTCGTCATTTGAGAACCTTTCCGCCCCATTGGCCGATGGTTCTCTTGCTGCGAGTCTCGCCCAATGCCACTTCAGCCTTCAGACGATATCGGCCCGTTAGATCTTTTTCGGCAAGGTGAAGATGGCTGGAGCGGCACACCTTCTGCCCCATCATCTATCTTCACTACTCGACTCCAATTACACTTAACATTAGGTGGAGGGGGTAATTTGTTTCATCTCTTATAAAAATAAATATTACATTTTTGCAACCCAATTAATATTTTATTTTAACTAATACTACCCATTATTTATTTAAACTAATAAAAGAGAAAACCTTTTTATTAATAAAAAGCAGTTAATGCTTGAGTGTGAGATTTTACTTAGCCAAAATTTATATGCAAAATATGTGTTTTTTTATATACCTAATAATGTAATGTATCCCATTTACAATTGGCACCATTATGCCATAAAACAGACAATAATTATGGTCTCTGAAGTAAATGTAATATTTGATTAATTATTAGGTTAATATACTCACAAAGTATAATAAAAAGTATCACTTGAAAATTCCCATAGTTCCTAGTTGAAAAACATGTGAAAGTGACAATCACATGAAAAGATAGTAAGGCTATAAGCCATGGATCACGCCATTCAATCTGAAAGAATGAAACTGTTGTTAATTCTACACAAAGTTATTATATAGGTCTTGTCAAAATAGGCGTTTCAGATCACAAAAAATCCACCAGAACAAAATTTTGGTGGAGACCTTCGGTACACCATTAGAAAGAAAGAATCTGATGTCCACATTGATAAGTAATATATTAACAACAACAAAAGAAAACATTATACCCATATAAAATTAAATAACAACACGACTGTCCTTAGATGCACCACAACAAATAAATTATTATTAAAATCAATTAGTCAATGGCCAGCACAGAGCAAACTTAATCCCAAATATATTTATCTGCAATAAAGTCCACAACCTAATAAGCTTTACTAATAAATTTTTTGACAGCATAGTTTTAAATTTGGTATCTGTCAGTGCAACAACATCGTCAGGGGTACTTAATTCCTTTTTTTTCTTGAGTTCTATTTGTTTTAGCCTAAAAAGATTTCGTGTACGTGTTTCTAATAATTAATACTTTGCGTGACAAAAATTTCAGCTCGCAACTCAACCACCTTTAATGGTGAGCTGAGCCTCATCAGGTATTATGATATTAGAATCTAACACTACAACCAATTAGGTTGACTTACTTCTTTCGCTCCGCCTAAAATAGGGGCCCAACAGTTTATTTACAATATATACTATACAACCACTCATACCCAATAAAATACAAGTCTATGGTAGTCATTCGTTAGTAAATAGATTATGATTGTCAGGGTCAGATGGTACCTACCTTCTAATTTGCAGCGTTGCAATACGGATCTATTATTTTTATATAAACCAATACGTTTAAACAGAAATAACACTGTGTTAGGCTACTTGCGTAAAGAAGTAAATTTAGATTTTTATTTGATCGATGAACCTACAACTAAATTATTTTGCAATTACAAGTTCAAAACTTAAATTTACTTACACTGCGTATATAAGAAATAAAATCTGAGATCTCATTAACTTCTATGAATCCTTCCATTCCTTCCTGCTCCAATGAAATAGTTTGAAAAAGAAAGATAACTGGTTGATAAGTCAAAATGTTTACAAAATCCGAAACACGACACTAAAATAACTACGGGCTCCGTTCCAAACCTATGTTCCATGTGCAATAAATGTCAAAGTCAAATTAGCAATAGGCTTGATACTTAAAGCCCGTCACAGACGTAGCTATAATATATATTAATATGAATCATAGCAAGACATATTACAACATATTTTCAATATAAATTTTCGAGTGACCGCACACGCAGCTATAATATATATTTCTATGACGTCACCAAAATATGTCGACAGATATATTTTGGCATATTAGTGTATATTATGGTATATTAATATATATTTTGATATATTAATATATATTTTGATATATTAATATATATTTTGATATATTTTTATGATACGGTATGTTTCATTATTCACCGAACGCCTGCCAAAATATATATTATAGCCGTTCCCCGCGGTTTCACCCGCGTTTTTCTCGTTTCCGTGGAAATACTGAGATAAATTATGCAAGCAAGCGCGCGTGGATTTCCTTAGCAGAGTTATTTTAGAAATGTATTTATTATACTCTTCAAAGATCTTATACTTACAATCATCAACAAATATATTTTGAAAAAGATTATTACAGGATTTTATGTTAATAAAAAACTCTATGGCCCATAACTCATTAATAGGTACCAACTCTTAACATCTTACACACGTGATAACTTTTAAACGAAATATCCGATTGAGATGAAACAAAAAGTATTTTACTTCTACATAAATACTCTTGATGACATAATGCTTAATTTCGATAAATATTAATATTACGATACATATTTAACGTAGTTTTTTTTCTTCAGACGATGTAATAATTATTTTGAACACAAAATCGGTTATTGTGATTAAACCATGATAGCTAGATATATGTTTTCGCAGACTTTTTTGTAGGTCTTAATGGGATCTACAAACCCGTAGTACATCATTTTGTTCTATTGTCAATAGTTTTTGCAGCGCACGCAAAAATAGGTTTTCGATTTTACACCTTGTGTTACAAAATAGCTATTTTATTACGGATCCCTAATTTTGAAAGAAAAAAATATAGCCTATAGTGTTCGCGCCCCTATAAACCCCACATATACATACATATAAAAGAAAAGGAATATTACAAATCATAGCGAAAACTTGCATTTATATAACGGATGGCGCCATCTATTGAATGGGACACCGGAGCGCTCTTAGCCCAAGCGTCATTGGTTGTCGCCGGCAGATAGCAGATGTCGCCCGCGTTCGTGTGTTCGGCTGGTTTTACCGACCATAATGTCATGACTTGTTAAAAATTGTTAAATTCATTCTGTCAAGAAAACTGTTACTGCTAAATTGTATCTATTATAACATAAAGCGAAATTACTAAAATACACCGAGTTTTTACTAAAGAAGACTCCATTCTATGCCCAAACATAGAAAGTTTTTTGGCGACCGTGACAGGACACGAATTACAGTCTTCAGAGGGAAAATCCATTGCCCGTGACCGGCGTTTGAAGAAAGAAATCTAAAAATTGGAAGAAATAAACAAAAAAGGAAAGCAAAGCAAAAGGAAAACTTAACAATTCGTCGTGTGGCTTGCGAGGTCCAACGAGTCATCTAAAGAATCGTGCTGAGCAGAAAACACATTCGAGATCAAAGTTAAGTGCCATCCTTAGTTCCAAAAAATCTACAAATTCCATTTCTACCTATTTATTATCATAAATACCATTACTAATTATAAATTGTATCTACTTGTTTTACATAATTTTAGTGTATTTCTCGTCAAATATCAAAATACAAAACCGTAAGTACTACCCACATAATATTTATAATAATTTTAGATAAAATCAAGGTTGTCATCGTATTTATTCTGGTATTTCCCTGTACTCAATTAATATTATTTCAGTTAATTCTATAAATAGTAAAGGTGCTAAATTGACTTGAGTTTTTTGTATGACACTATATCTTACCCCCAATTACAAGGTTCAATTCAGGGCTCCACGGGGTAGGATTTCTAGGGGTGTAATTTTATGTGTGTTGGGATTTAATATAAAATAAAAGAATTCTTCAAAACAGTGTAGGTTTATTAATTGGTTTTATTATATAACAAAAAAGGAAAAGGTTTAAATTATTTAAAAATCAATATCAGTTGTTAGTTAACAAATAGAGCATTTTAGTGTCACAAAAGTGTTATTTGGCTGTTTTCTCATCCGATTTAACGGGCATTTTCCAGGCAAATCATTTGTGGTGCGGAAAGGTGACAGAGCGTTTGGAGTTCGATCGCTTGCGTTACCGGAGGACACCCACCGAGACATTCCGGCAAATTGGGAGCGTCAGATAAGCCTGTTCAATTATTCCTATTTTTTTTTTGCAAACAAGTTCAATATTTCCTCTTTTGCCGTCGAATTTTGTTGATTGAATAAGCATTTTCGTAATTTTCCAATTAATTTGGTGTCAAAATGGCTACTGCATTATCACCTAATCCAGCTGTTTCTAATTTAATTGCTACAACAACAAATTTAAAATCTCTTTATACAAAACGCAGTTCTATAAAGGGACAAATAACTAAGTTTAAAAATTATATAGAAAAGATAAGTGAGAACATAGAGGAAAAAACTGATTTAGAAATTGCAGAATTAAATTTAAAATTAAATAAATTTGAAAGCTTGTCAGCCAGATTCGACGATTTGCAGACTGAGATAGAAGATATAAATTCAGATAATTTATCATGTGAGGTTGATGAAAGGGAGCTCATTGAGGATTTGTTTATTCAATGCATTGCAAAGGCTAAGGCTATAATAAAACAAAATGATGGCTCGATAAACAAGTCTATCCATGAGTGCCCTGACATAGAATTGGGTATAAGGTTGCCACAAATTCAAATTTCAAAATTTGACGGATCCTACTTCCGCTGGCTTGAGTTCCGTGACACTTTTACGAATTTAATTCACAAAAAAACCAACATAACAGATATACATAAATTTCATTACTTAATATCGTATCTTGAAGGGGATGCAGCGCGTATCATTACCAATTTGGAAGTATCTTCTACTAATTACAAGGAAGCCTGGCAGCTTCTTTGTGATCGTTACGACAATAAGAGGCTTCTCATTAATCATCATTTAGATTCATTATTTAAAATTCATCCCATAAATCGAGAATCGGAAAGATCATTGCGTTTCCTTGTTGATCATGTCACTAAAAATCTTCGGGCACTTACTAGCCTTGGTCTTCCAACCCAACATTGGGACGTTCTTGTAATTTTCATTCTTTCGTCAAAATTGGATAGTGAAACGAATGTCAAATGGGAGGAATTTCGAAATACTTTGGATGACATTCCTTCTTTAGAACAATTTAAGAAGTTTTTGGTTGACCGTGCCGATGTACTCGAATCCTTGAATCGCAATAAACATCTAAACAAGCCGACTGTCGGCAACAACTTCAAGGTCACGTCAAATTCAAATATGAAATTTCATTCTCGTTCGTTTCTTAATTACAATTCGAGCAATAGTAAAGTTAATAGTAACAATGATGGCAAAAATACGAATACCTTTATATCCGTAAAATCAAACCAAAACAATTCTACATTCTTGTGCGTAATCTGTAATAATAATCACAGAATTTATGATTGCCCAGTTTTCAAATCAAAGAGTTTAAAGGAAAAATATTCACTAGTTGCTAAATATAAGTTATGTCAAAACTGTTTACGTCAAGGGCATCCTCTTAATGAATGTCGTATGGGGCCTTGTCGACAATGCAATCAACGGCATAATACTTTGTTGCACGATCCTGGCGTTGTTGTCGGCTGTTCTACCTCTGAACATGTTGATGGAGGTAGTGAACCTAATTCGGTTGTAACCTTATATAATGGTGATTCGAATTGTGCGCTTCTTTCCACGGCTTTGTTGGACGTCATCAATCCGGATAGTGGTGCGATAGAAAGAGTGCGTGCTCTGCTTGATTGTGGTAGTCAGTCTTCGTTTATAACAAAGTCGCTTACACAAAGGTTATCACTGAACACTGCACCTCTAAAGGCGGTTAATGTGATTGGAATAGGAAATAATTGCAACAATAAAATAAAGGAAAGTTGTTTGGCTAAGATTAAGTCTATAAATAGTACTTACCAAACTACCTTATCCTGCTATGTACTCGAAGAGTTAACAGGTTTGTTGCCAAAGACACCTGTTAATGTACAAAATATGAACATACCCAAAACCATAAGGCTTGCAGATCCTCAGTTTGCCCATCCTGCTCCGGTTGATGTTTTGATTGGTGCGGATCTCTTTTGGGACATTCTTGGCTGTAAGCAAAAATACTTGGGACCAAATAACAAAATACAATTACGAAGTTCTAAATTCGGTTGGATTGTTGCTGGTTCAACTAACTTATTGGGACATAATAAGTCTGAATCACCCACGAAAGAACAATATCCATCATATTTTTTATGTCATCATGCTGTCTTTAAAGAGGAGAGTGAGTCAACCAAAATTCGAGTCGTGTTCGATGGCTCCTCTCCCACAACTTCAGGATATTCTTTAAACGATATATTGATGGTGGGCCCTAACGTCCAACAGTCGCTTTTTTCCATATTGGTCAGAGCCCGTCAACACAAATTTCTCTTGACCGGTGACATAGCTAAAATGTACCGTCAAATAAATGTCAATGAAGAAGACAGGGACTTGCAACTGATCTTGTGGAGGGAAAATGAGAATGAGCCCATTAAAACATGGCGTCTCAATACTACAACATATGGTACTGCAAGCGCTAGTTACTTGAGTACTAGATGTTTAAACCAAGTTGGAGAGGAATGTGGTGAACAATTCATCAAAGATATCATACAAAAGGATTTCTATGTTGATGATTTGATCACCGGCTGTGATAATGAACTAGAGTTACGTCACATACTAAATTCAGTAACAAACGCCCTAAATTCAGCATGTTTCCCCTTGAGGAAATTTAAAACAAATTCAAAGG